GTTATTTTTATTTGTGTGGTTATTTCTATTTTATGTTTTTTTTTACTGTTGTGTTGTAGACTCTCTGAACTGTACTGTTTTATTAACTAGCACTAATAAAAACTTCACTTTGACATCATAAATGTGAAGTAATGTATAATTCAAGTGATTTTAGATTTTTCTTATTTTTGCATGCATTTTGATGTATTTTATTTTGATGTCTATTTGTATTGATTTTGTTCCATTTTCATTATTTTTATTTGTGTGGTTATTTCTATTTTATGGTTTTTTACTGTTGTGTTGTAGTTTGATTTGATTGGGAGTGGATTTTACATAAGCTTATTTAGGCTTTTACCCATCCCTTACATGTGAAATATGTCATTTTGAATTGTTGTATTCTTTGTTTTACTTCTTCTGTGTTAGATTACATCATATGTTACATACATCAAACTATTGTCAGAACACCAAAAATATAAGGAACTAGTAGTGTCAAACTTGTTAAAGAATTGCAACTTTGAGAAGAGCCACAGAAGAGGTTTTGTTCAAATCTAATCTCTGAGTTTTTTTTAGTTGGTCGAATATTAATAAGGTCAGTGTTTATAGCATTACAGGGTAGCTGTGATGTGGTTGTAGGCTGTAATTTTTTTTACAGCTCAGTACAAGTAAATTAACTATGCAGAGCTTAACAAAAATTAACAAGGAATTGTGTTTTCCAAAGTGGGGCTGCTAGTTTTTTATCTCTGGAATGCTGTGTGACAACAGAAACTATGCGCCACAACAGTTAAGTGTGAGGTAGTCGACATGAGAGTGATTCATGAGAGGATGTTGTTATTATTGATTAGATTAATACCGTGGGGTCATGTCAGGAACGTGCAAAATCAACAGCTGTTCAAGGCTGGAACATAGCCGAGCTGATAATGTCAGTGCATCTGTTCATAACCTGAATGAAGCAAAGGCCTGTGACTAAAGACAGAAACGCAGAGAAAAGAGCTGTCATTGGTATTCAGGTTGCTCCTCAGGTGGTAGCAGTGGGTTTTATTCATCTGGCTGAGATGTTATGTAACTGAGACTGAACTCAGGGGAAACAAACATTAAGTCAAGGTTTAAAAAGTGGTTTAAAAAGTGCTTCTTTTTATGAGCTTTGAAAAACTGTAGAGTGTTGATCATATTGTGTTCGATAAGAAGCTGCTGTATTGAACATAATACTGTTTTATAATTCATTTAAAGGGGCAATATTATGTGTTTCTCAGGCATATATTTAAATACTATACCATAATAAAGTATCCAGGTCATCTTTAGTTGTTATTAAAATGCTGTTTTTATGTTTAAATAGAAAATAAACTTATCTTCTCATCACTTCCTCTTCTAAACGCCTTGAAATTGGCCTCTGTCTCTTTAAGAACCACCTTCCGCTTCTGTCACGTCCCATTTCAGTGCGGGTGCGGGTGGCGGAGTCGTGCGGGCACTGTGATGCAGTTTACTTGGCATCTGAAAATACATTTCCTCAAAGGTATTTTGAATATGAAAAGAGCTTCGCTTAGTGAGCAGCAGTGTTAAGAGCAGCAGACAGTTTAAGTTTCACTTTCACTTTCACTTTGCTCTGTTACTGCCAAGAGCCTGCAGGAGTCATGGGCGGGGTGTGGGGGGTTGTGCTCCGTGATGAGGAAGTTCGGCTTAAAGACACGTAATGCTGTACCAAACGATTATTTTCTAATCGATTAATCTAACGATTATTTTTTCGATTAATCGATTATTCCAACAACAAATCTATAAGTTATTCTGATGTGAGTGCACTGAAAATTTAAAATGTTTTCATCAAATTAACAAGAACAGTTCTTTATTGTAATATTTTC